TTTTCCTTATTCCTTTATTTTTTGAAAAGTTGGTAGCAGCAGAGTTTCAAAAATGTCTTTAGTTGGCAAAATAAAACAACTGGCAATCCCAGGCTTCCACTGCCCTGGGGATACATAACCGCCCAGGAAAATTGGAATTCTGGTCTAGACTGCCTTACTCCTACTTTTCCTCTATTCATTCATATAAAATTTTGGAAAATTTTAATAAATATGTAAAACGCTAAAGATGTCTGAATGTCTGAATAGTTAGGTAAGAAATCTAATCCTTAGGGCATATTTTAAAATCCAGAATGCAAGTGATGAGTGATGATAGCGGCTGAGTTAAAGAAAGTTAATTTCAGTGATACCACAGGTCAACGATCTTGCTATCTTCACAGGGCCTGCAGCGGGACCAGATTCCATTAAGTCTTGAAGGACTCTGTGATGTCTGATTTCGAGTCACGGAATTTTCACAGAGCAAAGTAACTTTAAACCTCAGAGTAAGCTAAGGAACAAACAGAAAGAACTCACTTATAGTCCTGGTCCTGACCAGCTATGCCACAGAGGGTAAGGTGCTTACCTCTCTGAAACTTTACTTCCTCATCTATAAAATGGGAATAAATTCCAGGATGGCTGTGAGGATCAGACAGTGTCCCTTTTGCTGGGATATAGTAAGTGCTCAATAAACAGTAGCTACTGAGAATAGAATGTTATATTTTGTATGCAGAGACAAGGAAAGTCACAAGCTAGTTAGTGACAGAGCCTTAAATCAAAAGCCCAGGCTCCTCATTCTTACTCCAGTGTTTTTTTCTAGAATGCAACGCCGCTGGTGCAGGGGTGAAGGTGGGTGCTACCTGGTAAAACCATTTTAATTCAAACAAAGTTAACAGCTAGCTTCCAACAAGTACTCAGAAATAAAACAAAGGCCAAGAAATACAAAATTTTAATGGGTTTTCTTGCATGTCAGATAGTTGTAGATTTCTACAACAGAAACAGAACTAATTTGCTTTCACTTCCTAAACTTCAAAACAGTGCTCCTCTATTTTTTTTTTTTTTATTTAAGTAATCTGTACACCCAATGTGGGGCTCAAACTTAGGACCCTGAGAGCAAGAGTCACACAGCTGTCTTCCAACTGAGCCAGCCAGGCACGCCTGCCTTGTACTTTTTAAAGGACCTGTCAAATTATGCTAGTTCTATCGGGCTAATTCAATTCTGTGGATACAACATCCCACTTGGAAATAATACTCCACCGAGGCAATTTCATTAAACAGGTCAATTACTAAATAGACTTTCAAAAGTTTTTACTTAAATATTTTAAGTAAATATAGTCTTTTTAGCCTTTCATGGCCTGGTGGATTTTGTGTGTGTTTTAAACCAAATGAACTTCGGATTTGATAAACAATACAAAAAAAACAACAAAAACCAACATTTTGCTCATCTTACAAATCAAGCTCTCTCTCTCAAAGCCCTTGGGATTTCCACTCCAATCTTTTACACAAAGTTCAAGTGAATCTGAGTCTCTGTAACGAGGCACTTATTGGAGGCACTCTCCTCTCTGAGCTAGATGAGGCCATCACTTGAGTGAGCCCCCGGGGTGGGCGGGTGGGCGCATGCTCAGAGACTTCCCTGCCATGGTGTGGGGCCCGGGGTCTCTTCCAGACTCTGTTGTCATGAGCAGCACACATCTGCAAGCCAGACAGGGAAAGTTCACTGTGGAAGAGAATCTTCCTCTATGTGGATCCAACCTTGCTACTAAAACTCGGAAAACTGCCTCAGAAGGACAACTGGCCATGAGCTAAACTGCTCAGCCGGGAGGCATTCAGGTGCGGTGACCACAATTCACCACACCCAACGCTACATTTAAATAGCATTTTTCTAAAGGAACTTGGGGAATGAATTCATCTTTACAGCATCCAGACAACAAACCCTCTTCCTGCTGCCCATATCAGAAGGGGCTTCCACTGCGTTCCTCGAATCTTCTGCACATGTCTCCATCACCGCTCTTACCAACATGGGTCATCCTGTTCCCCACAGGCTCTGAGACACTTCTGGAGACCACGTCCCCTTTAGCAGTGGATCTCCAGTCAGTAGCATAGTACCTCACGCCCAGTAGATGCTCCGTAAATGATCTGATTGCAAAAAGGAACAAAAAACTCAGAGGCAGAGACTGAAGAGGGGGCTAGTTGGCATTCTTGAAGTATCTTCGTACTCCGGATTAGACCAGAGGTTATCAACTTTCTCTGAACTTCCACAATTAATCAACAGTTAGCGAGCCATGAACTGTAGGCTAGGTTTGGAAGAAACAAAAATGAGCAAGACAAAAACCCAACCACATAAGGAACCCCACAATGGTAGCAGCGTGGGAGATATGTGAAATGTATATATTTATGTTTGCCAGGAGGAAGAGAACCAAAATGCCTGGTCTCCTTGCCTCCTGTTTCTTCATCTTTCCCAAATAAATATCCTATACAATCTTGCCAAATTAAGTTTCACTGTCTCCATGCCAATGCTATATTCAGAGGCCTTTCCAGCTCCAGTTGCTATGGGATAAGGTCCATGCTCCTTAGCATGGCAGTCAAGGTCCTGAAGCCTTATTCCTAAAGTCTACTAATGAGTCTTTCCCAGAATGTGGCTGTGAGACTGTGATTTATACGAGGAAATATATTTGGCCTTTGTCCACGTTCCTGTCAGAGCTCCTAGAACCCGTGGAATTTTCTAGAGAGCAAATTATAAAGGTGTCTTTTGGTATGTTAATGAGGTGACTTTTGGAATGCCCCCCAGGTCACTAAAAGATGGGGGCTGGTCAGCAGAACCAACTAAGTGATTAGAGGGTCTGAATTTTTGATCCCCACCCCAAGGACGGTAAAGGAGATGGAGACTGAGCCCAATCATGAGTGGCTAGTGATTTAACCATGCCTATGTAATGAAGTCTCCATAAAACCCAAAAGGGCGGGTTCAGAGCTTGAGGGCTGGGGAACACATGGTATATGGGGAGAGAGTCATCCCCAGGGACCACCAAAACACTTCCTGCATCACCTCCTTTTACAATTAACTGGTAATCTACAAAGGAGAAGGTTTCTCTGAGTTCTGTGAGCTGCTCCAGCAAATTAATCAGACCTAAGGAGGTGGTTGTGGGAACCTCTGATATCTATGGCTGGGTCAGAAGTACAAGTGAAAGCCTGTACTTGCAGTTGGCTGTGAAGGGGGCAGGGGTGGGGTGGCGGGGGTGGTTTTGCACCACTGACTGCTTAGCCCGCTCAGAAAACCCTTCTTCACCTCTTCTCTTTCCCACTCTAAAGCACATCTCTGCCCATCTCCTATCCACACCCCCACCCCTCCAACCTCTCATTTATCCACCTATCAGTGCCTGGGCTGATTTCTCTTTATCACACAGTCCAGTCATATTATCCCTCATTTTTATATATTTTGAAGTATGCAGCCATCAAACACTGTTACTTCTACTAAATTGCCTTTACCTCTATTTACAGCAGGTACTAAAATAACAATGTAAACCTCATTTGATCGTTCAGTAACTCCCTATCCTCTTTATGGTCCAAGATTGGATATTTAAAATAGGTACAGTAATGCTACTCAGTTTTAATATCATGGTCCCAGGGGTTATCATTTTAAAAACAAAGGGTACGGAGAGCCCAAGCATTTCCCAAATAGTCCATTCTAAAAAAGGACCAAGGGAAACACTTCTCAAAGGCGAAACAAAAAAGTACGAAATTTGGGGGTTTAATTTTCCAATTAGACATTGAAAATGTAGTACTGTTTTGGTACATTTAAAAACCATTCTTCCCCAAATTGTACTGCCTTGGCTACCACTGGTTACAACGCCAAGTATGTGGACAGGAACACGGAAGATACGTTTAATTCTGTACTTCAAATTTAAATACTACTCAACGTTTCTTGGACTTCCTTGCGGGAGATCCTTTACTGCCTATCACTGAAGGTGACTGCCCTTTCCTTTTAAGTATTAGCTCATCTATGTGGTTCCCCTAGGTTTGACAGCTTTAACGGGTTTTCCATTGGAAAAAACTACTACCCATACCAACCCGAAAAACCTCCACACCAAGTCTCCTAAATCTGACTTCATTAAAAAACTTCCCCTCTGCAGTTTCCATTTTAGATGCTGCGGGTGAAATACTTTCTGACCTGGAGTTAACCGTATTTACTTCACTGCTGCACCTCACCCACTTAGGTGATTTTGGAAGACTCCTCCCCATTTCAGCAAGTCCCAGGGTTATTTGAGGTCACCGACAAGTACAGCTGAAGTCCCTCTGACCCGCACTGACAGTTAAAACGAGAAACTTAGTGTAGTTTTAGTCTTAATATTCTCCATAGAGCCTCCGCAGGGAATTTCAAACTTCATTATTTCGGCGCACTGGAAAAGTGAGTTCAAAATTAGCAAATAAGCCCTGGTTCTCACAAGGCGAGCCTAAGCACCGGAATTCGCTATAGATGACCCACTTTGGCCATTTCGCCAGGCGCAGAGCTTCAACTTCACTACGCTGCCCGCCTGCTTCCCACCTCGCAGCACCTTTTTTCTTCGGTGAGTAATGGAAGGGCCAGGAGTTTCCGTGCAGAGATTCTCACACTGTCCCTGAAAACTGAACGGGACCAATGCATCACCCTGGTCTCATGACCGGCCCTTGGAGGGTGCGAGAGGGGACGCTGGTTCAAGAACCAGCTCGGATCAGGACGTGGGAGGGGTGTGAGGGGTTTGCGCCGTGGGAGGATGCACGGCCCGGAGGCCCCAAGGACAAGTCTGCGTGGAGACTACCACGAAAATCTCGGTCTGGCTTTACGAAGAGGATCGAGGGACTTCCATTTGGAGCCGCCCCTCCCCCTAAATTTCACCGAGGCCCATCCACCAAATACAAGGCCACCCAGCTAGAGGGGGAGAGGCTCACAGACGCAAAGAAAACGCGGCCGGTAGGGCGCTGGGCACCGCGGAAGAGCAGCGCTGGCGACGGAGGGGCCCAGCCGGGGTCCGGCCCAGCCCCGGAGCCCTTACCCACGGTGGACTTGCAGGCCTCGCAGAAGGTATCGTCGGTGAAGCGCTCCATCAGGCTGGTCTTGCCCACGCCGCGGGAGCCGATGATGATGACCTGCAGCTTGAAGTCGGCCGGCCTGGGGGGCTGCTTCCTCCGGCGAGCCTGGCCGCCCGACAGCGCCGGGGAGCCCGCGCCCAGGCCGCCGCCGCCCCCGGCCCGCCTCTGCAGCGCGGCGCCCGGATCCATGCACGCATACGGCTCCCGCTCGGCCCGCCGCCCGCCGCCGCCCGCTCCCGGGCCGCGCGCCCCGGGCCCCGGCGCCCCCTCGGCCTCCGCCGCGCGCCGGGGGTCGGCCCCGGGCTGGGTGTCCGTCCGCTCGAGTGGCCCAGGCGGCCCGTGGGCTCCGCGCTGCAGCTGCGCCGCCGGCCGGCTCCCCGCGCCCGCGTCCACACCACCACCGCCGCCGCCTCCGCCGCCGCTGCCGCCGCCGCCGGGAGAGGAGGAAGGGAAGCAGCTACTCCGCAGCAGCGGCAGCAGCATCCCGGACGAGGAGGGGCAGGAAGCGCAGGCGCGGGGCGGGCGGGGCGGGGCGGGGCCGCAGGACCTGCGCGGGGCGGGCGGCCCGTCGCTCGCGCGTCCCCTGTCGGCGGGAGGACCGCTCGCCTAGCGCTGCTCGTTCACCCTGGCCGGCTTCGCTTTGCGTGCTTCTAGTCCTTGCTCTCCCATACTCTGCTGCTCCGTTTCCGATGCCCTCTCTTCCCTGTCTTTTCTTTCTGTCGGCTCTTGTAACTTCTCTTTCTTCTTCATCCTTCCCCCTTCTCCTTTTTCACTCCTCCTTTCCCTTCTTTCACTAAACACAGTCCCCAAGCGCGACTGCAGTTCATTAGCCATCTCTCCCCCAAACCTGCTACATTCTCAAGATAACATCCCCCAAATCACTGTTGCAAACTCAAAGAGTTGCTGGGACGCTCGCCCGAGCCAGGCCTTCTCCGTTACACCCTGCCAACTGGGGTCTCCCGTCCAGTCACGCTAAGGCCCCACCCTCTCCCCGTGGGAAGTAGGTTTCTTCGTCTTGCCGGGTCCTGTCTGTCTTTCATAGGAAGAAATGTCATGTCTTTTCCATAGGAAACACACGAAACCAGTTATTTTTAGCCCTGATTGCTGCCTCATTCAGAGTTAAGCAGTTTTTATTCCGTTTCACTTTTAATATAAATAAATGGCATGCTCCTTTGGGGGAGCGAGTGAGTTAAACCTCGAACAGTGCTAAGAAAGTCCAAGATTGACACTCCACAAGTTTAGGAATTACGGACTCGGGCAGGGTGTTATGCCACTTGTAGTTGAAAGGACTTAAGGATACAGAAAATCGCTGCTGTGATTCCTTGCCAGGGATTTGTTTAGCAAATTCCTCAGCGTGAATTTGAGCACCTCGGAACACAGGGTTCTAAATATGATAGGAGCTGGCACATTTGCTGAGAATGATCACGTAACCCACCGAATTTCAGCTTTATTTAGAACTGGGTTTGGTAATGTGTAGTACATGTGGATATTACTCTACAGACCGGATTTGTAAAACTCTTGCATTGCCCATAAATTAATTGGAAGTTCACATTTGTAGGAGAGTCCTTAGCTTTCCAAGAGCAATCATAATAGTTTTTTCCTTTGTTCGCTAGTTCTTACGATATTTAAAATATGATTGGATCTCTGTACTTTTAAACACAGCTCCATCATTTACAATCAAGGAACCACTCTCAGCTGTGGATTTCTCTCCTCTGCGGTAGGAAGGAGAGTAGTGACCCCACTTACTGATTAGCAATGTCAGGAAGCAAGTACTTGCCTCTTGGTGAATGCATGACCTCATCAGTCTTGACATTCCTACCAAGCTTTGATGGGAGTCTATCCTTTTCTCCGGTGGACAGACATGTTGGTCACTGATTACGATGCACACCTGCTATTTTTGTAGTGATCTGTGCGCTGAAGAGAGAGCTGTGAAGTTTGTGCTCTATGCAATTACTCGTAGTTAATATACTGTGGTAACAGAAATTTGAACCGTTGGGGAAATGGTGTTATTTAACTAAATTGCGGTAACTGAAATTTCTGCTTATCCGAGCCTGCAAAGAGAGTACTGTCTGTACCCAAAAGCATTCATTATCATGAGGGTGGGAATCAGATTGCATCGTTCGTCTTTGTTAAAAAAAACTCTTGAAAAAAAAAACACAAAAAACAAAAAACTCTTGAGTTTTGTCCAGACTCTCACACTGCTCTGTGAAGTCATGTGCTTCAGGTAAAGCTTGCCCAGGCATCAGGACCAGTCGGGGGAATGTTGTTTTTGTCTCAGTCAGTTACTCAGATTCTATTCTCCTTGCCAGTTAAGTGGCTCAGAAAAGGGCATATGATCAAAATCTGGTCAATGAGAAATGCAGGGAAATCTTTGGGAGGACAGAGTTTCTGATAAAAGGTTTTGTAGCTCTTCAAAAGAGACCCAGCGTGGGGGGGGGGGCGGGACCAAAACCAAAACAAAACAAAAAACAAAACCAAAAAAGGCCCCAGGAAGAGATAGTATCTCTTTTGCCTTAGACCTTTTGTGTGAAAGGTGTAATGCTTATAGGAGTTTCTGCTATCTTGCTGTCTTGAGGACAGCTAGCTGACAGGTTGTAGATGGTAGAGTGGACAGATGAAAAAAACCTGGGACTTAGATGTGGTTGTGAGGGCACTGAATTTACCAATCATGGCAACAGCCCCGGCCTGCCCCACCCTGCCTAGGGACATCTTACCATGCGAGAGAATAAATTCCCTTGTTGTTTAAGTCTTCTGAAGTAGGTTTTCGTATATGGAGCTGAAGGAATCCTAACAAATATTGGGAGTGCATGCTTACAAATATGACATTAGAGAGGTAAGCTTGAAAACCCTAATCTTTTTTAAAGAATGTACTTTATCAGTAACAAATTACTTGTGATGTGGACAACTGATCAAAACTGACCACAAAATTTGTGGTCCTGCCATTCAGAACTGGGCTGTGTACTAGCTAGGAAGGGAAGGCAACAGATGGGAGTAGCGAGAAGAATACCAAATTCAATATATTTCCCCAAGTTAGAAGTCAAAGTAACATTCTATTGGACCTGGAAACTGATCACTCTTTAAGAAATTTCAAAATTACAAATGCAAAACCATCGAGAAATTGAGAACAGGGTCTGAGATGTTACATAACTTGCAAGCTAACAAGTTAGCTCAACACAGTTCCACGGGTGAGAAGATAGAAGACTCCTGGGTCAGAGGCATGGACACATGGAGAGGCAAGCAAGTCTCAGTTTCGTTATTGCCAAGACATACTCCCCACCCCCAACCCTGAAGTTTTACTATGTAACTGACATATAACATTGTTTTAGTCCAAAGTGTGAAACATAATGATTGGATATTTGTATATATTGCAAAATGATCAACACAACAAGGTTAGTTAACACCCAACAACTCACATAGTTATAATTTTTTTGTCCAATGAGATTTTTTTTAAAAGATTTTGTTTATTTATTTGACAGACAGAGATCACAAGTAGGCAGAGAGGCAGGCAGAGAGAAAGGAAGAGGAAGCAGGCTCTCCGCTGAACATAGAGCCCAATGGAGGGCTCGATCACAGGACCCTGGGATCATGACCCAAGCCGAAGGCAGAGGCTTTAACCCACTGAGCCACCCAGGCACCAAACCCCCCCCCCCCTTTTTTAACTCTTCTAGCAACTTTCAAATATACGCCACAGTATTGTTAACTATAGTTTCCATGCTGTACATAACCACCATGACTTATATATCTTCTAACTGGAAGTTTCTACTGTTTGACCCTGTTCACCCATTTCACCTACGCTTACCTCCCCACCTCTGGCAACCACCAATCTATTTTTTGTATCTTTGACTTCACTTCTTTTAGGTTCCGCATAAATATGAGATCATAGAGTATTTGTCTTTCTATGACTTATTTCACTTAGTATGACACCATCAAGCTCCATCCTTGTTGCAAATGGCAGGATTTCCTTCTTTTCAAAGGCTGAATTATCTTCCATTGTGTGTATGTAACAAATTTGTTATCCATCCATCCATTGATGTACACCTTGCTTGTTTCCATGTTGTGGATATTGTAAACGATGCTGCAGTGAACATAGGGCACATACATCTTTTTGAGCTAGTGCTTTTCTTTTTTGGGGTAAAGACCCAGAGTGGAATTTCTGGACCAGATGGTAGTGCCATTTTCAATGTTTTGAGGAACCTCCATACTGTTTTCCACAGTGGCCGCACCCATTTACATTCCCACCAAGAGAAGGACACATGTTACTTGTTAACCTTAGCACTTTAATACTCCCAGCACAGCAGACAACATGAGCATCTTATTCACCCCAATTCCTTTGTCCTCAAGTCCCACAGCTGTTGTGGGACTGGGTTCAGGTGGATGGTGCACAGAGTGGAGCTTGCACGGTTGCGAAGAGCCTCAGGCTTGGGAACCCCAGTCTTTAAAGCGGCTGCAAACCAACATCCCCAACGTTGGCTAGGAGGGAGTCATTGTCTCTATTATACTGGTCAGCAGTTAAATCTTCCCTCTGTCTTGAAGGGAGCCAGGATTTAATTCTTCCAAGGTCATTTGCTATACAAACATCCTGAAAAGATTGTCAGGAGCAAAAGTTGTCCGTGCCCTTGCTTGTAAGATATGTAGAAGCACAAGAGACCCATGGACAGTTATCTCCCAACAAAAATTAGGTAAAAAGTAAATGTTTTTTCCAAATGATAAAATAAACAATAATTCATAAATTTAAAAGAGCTGATAAGTGTTTAAACAAAATTTTAAAATTTAGTATTTTCATTAATGAATTGCCCAAACAATGTCTGTAAATTTTTTTTACTACATTTATTGGCTGCATGCATTTGATTATATTAAATGATTTTGTAATATCTCTTACAGTGAGAATTGAAATGCAGTCTTTCCTCTAGCATGTTTGATTGGAATTTTTAACTTTTTGTTACTGATGGTTGGAACACGTAAAACTCATGTGACTTCATATCCAGACATATTCTCTGTTCACAGTTCTGTCCTAGGTTTTTGTCCTACAAACATAGGACTTCTGATCAACAGCATTTTCATTCAAAAAGAAAACAAAATGTATCATGTGTTTATAATTGTTTATACTTCACTATTTAAAAAAAAAGATTTACCCATTTATTTTGGGGGGTGGTAGGGGAGGAGCAGATGGAGAGGGAGAGAGAGAATCCTAAGCAGACTCCCCGCTAAGCACGGAGTGGGGCTCGATCCCACCACCAAGAGCTCATGACCTCAACCCAAATCAAGAATTGGTCGCTTAACCAACTGAACCACCCAGGTGCCCCATCTACACTTCCCTACTAAGTTCATCCTTTACTGGAAAGAGTTTCACTTTGCTTGGGCACTGATGAGGACTAAATTTTCTACTTAAAATTTTGTGC